GGCTTTGTAGGCGCGTTGTGGATCGCAACGGCCTTAGGTGCGTTGTGTATTGCAACGGCTTTGGGTGCGTCGTTTATTGCGACGGCTTTAGGTGCGTTGTTTATTGCAACGACTTTGAGTGCGTTGTTTATTGCAACGGCTTTGGGTGCGTTGTTTATTGCAACGGCTTCTGGATGACGCAATTAGCGTCTAGGGGAATGAGGCGTACCGCTTTTAGGCATAATGTCATGTGCAGCCGATGATGGCTCTCATTCTAGATATCCGGGTCATCAAATAAAGATGACCGGGGTAGGTCAAGGGACCCAAATATAATCCGAATCATCAAATAAAGATGTTCGGAAGGTTAGGGCTTGGCCCGTACCAATTGGAGATTTTAATCCGCTAGCAATGGTGGTGATAATAATAATAGTAGTAGTAATTATTATTATTATTATTTTGTTTTTCTTTTGAATAGTTAGTAAAACTATATATATTTTTTTTTGAATAGTGGTAAAACTATTTTGCTCCATATTTAATGCATAAAATAGGAGGAAAAGTTTGTGAGACTTACTTGTATTAGGGCCGAAGCCTGCCCTGCTTAGTATTAAAGCAGGGAAATACAAGATTGGGCCTGCTCTGAATCCAGTCTTTGAGATTAATAGTCAGCCCAAGACTTTGTTTAATTGCTTCTTTACGCTCCGGGAGAAACGTGCTCGCGAAGAGACGAAGCGATCCCAGCGTCGCTGTAGCCCATTGTGGACGAAGTGGTCCCTGCCGTACCAGCCGTCGCGGAGACAAGATGTGAGGCTGGCTGACGAGTTCCGTCGAACGGGTTCTTGCCGATGCCGCTGGCCGATGTGCGCTGGCCGACGCGTGTCGTGGCTGATGTGTTGTTGGCTGATGCGTTGCGACCGATAGAGGGGCCGGCTGATGCCGTGCGCCGTTGGGGTGTCGGCTGAAGAGGTGCCGACCGAAGAGGTGCCGGCCGGAGAGGCGCCGGCCGGAGAGGTGCCAACCGGAGCGGTGCAAGCCGAAGCAGTGCGGGCCAAAGCGTGCTAGCCAATGGTGTTCGCGGCCGATGCGGTTGCTGGCCGGCGCCGTTTCCGGTCGGTGGGATGCCTCCCTCGCTTGTTTCGCCTAAGTGAACCATTCGAAGACGAAGGTCCCATTTGGCCGAGGAGGACTACTGGATGATGGTCCCGTCAGTTCCGTCTGAGCTTTACCGAGATGAGAGTTGTTGACCAAGGAAAAACCTCTTGGCCGAAGTGTTTCTGGCCTGTTTGTTCTGGGGCCGATGCGTGTCAGCCGAATGGATTGCTTGACGAGGTGCCCCGTTTTGGCCGATGCGGCCCGGACGATGCGGTCTGGCCGATGTGGAGCCGGTTGACGTGGTGCGCTGATGCGGTGCCGTCCGATGAGGAGCCAGCTAATGCGGTGCGCCGATGTGGTGCCGGTCTATGCGGTGTCCCCCCTTTTGGCCGGTGCGGTGCGCGGCTGATGGGGTGCCGGCCGATGGGGTGCCTGCCGTTGCGGCCGATGGCATGCGTCGCTAGCCGGTGCGCATCTATTTATGGCCGATGGGGCGCTGCTTGGCCGATGTGTGGTCTTCTCTTTGTTTGGCCGAGGCGCTGCACTGAGGCTTGCCGTCGATGCTTTTTGCTTGGTTTGGTCCGACTGATGATGTTGTTTTTCCTTGGCCGAGGGAGGAACATGGTGGTCCCACCAGCCCTTTCCTTCCTCTTGTTTGAGTTTTGACCGAGGTGGGGACCGAGGCTCATGGCTTGAATTGTTATCAAGAGGCTATTGGGTGATGGGATTGACCGTTGTGTAGCCTGCCATGCTCCTTTCTTTGTTGTCTTGGCCGTTCTCTCTTTTGTCTTGGCCGTAGGTGTGGATGCATGTAACGCCTGCCGAAGGGGTAGCTAGGAGATTACATGCCACTTTTGTCCTGGGCCGAGGGGCATGTTGCCGCAGCCAGGGCCGAGGTGGTACCACGGTACGTAATGTTTTGTTGGTTGGGAGGATCTCACTTGATATGTTCCACCTCTCAATGAAAGCACCAAATGATAGAGTATTAATTCTAGAGAGAAGTGAGAGCTAGAGAGATAAAGTGATATGTGTATAATGAATTTCCAATCAACCATTCAACCATCCTTTTACATGGCTCCCATAGGGAGTATTTATAGGAGAAAAGAGGGTTGGGCTTCCAGGTTTGGGCCTGGAAGGCCCAACTACAATAAAAGGCCAATAAATGGCTAATGAATGGTATCTAATCTATTCTAATGGATATACATGAATAAAATAGAGTGTACAATGAGATAAATGTTATCTACTGAGCGTATGTGGGCCGCTGTCCGGGCCCAACAGTCGTGAGACCCGGGGGTCCGAGTATATACTCTATCAATTATATAATTTGATGATTCTATGGTAAAATAGTACATAATATGATTTATTTACTATGCAATTGAAGGTTAGAGAATGATTTATTTACTATGCAATTTGATGATTAGTACATAATAAAATAGTGTTTATTCTGTGATATTCTGTGATTTATGAATGATTGGAGAATGATTTATTTAATATGCAATTGAAGGTTAGAGAATGATTTATTAATTGTGTGGACATGTAGAAACTAGAAAGAATTAAAATTTTCAATTGAATTTTGAAATTGAGATTACTTATTAATCTATGTACAACGATTTTTTTCTCTTAAAAGTTTTATAAATTTATAGAAGTATTTAGATTCATACCAATATTGAAAATGCTTTTTAGAATGGATAATAAACATATTGTCAAGAAAGGAAAATAAATTTCCTATACTCGATAGATTTTAAAATTGAGTACGAAATTGAGCTTGATTTTGACTCGATAAATTTTAACGCTTGATAAATATGCTCGAATGTAGAAGTTTAGACTATACTCGTTAATAGATTCATGTTCGAATTATTCAATAAATACCAAATCTTTATTAATCGTTAATATATTTATAAACTAGCATTATAACATTAAGATTTTAAGAAATTTATTCCTATAATTTATTAAAAAAATTATAACATCACTATGTTCGAACATGGTTTGAATAACTATTCAAACTCAAACCTAGTCCGTGTTCGAGTTCGAATCTTGTTAACTCGGTCATTAAATTAGATTCAAAATCAAGCTCGAAATCGAGTATAAAATTCCAAAAAAGCTTGATTCGATAACAGCTCTGAGCAAAACTTTGTATATATGAAAACTATTTTTTACTGCTTAGCCCACCCCACCTCTCAATCCTGGATCCGCCCCTGCTTACACTAGGCGTATGTATACAAACTCATTGCAGCTGCTTTACAACATCCGCGTTTTTCAAATTTGGAAAACTAGTAAAAGTCAATTCTCCAATTCATCTATAGAGTTTTGATACTTCAACAACAAAACTGAACAAAAAAACTCAAAATCACGTTGTATGAAAATTGTTTGATAGATATTTCAATTTGTAAATTGAATTTAGGCCTTGTTTTGGAAACAAAAATGCAAAGATTTTAGTAGAAAACAGAAAGGAAAGAATTAAAGGGCTAACATGTAAACGGATATAGAATTTAATACGGAGTACGGTATAAATGAAAGATGTTATTGTGATGATAATCAGTTGTTATACCGTATGACCGGTATACGGTGAGCACCGTATACCGGCATACGGTTTTTGGCAAGCAGCGTATTTGGCAAGCACCGGATCTTTATTCTTTATTTCTCTTTTTTTTTAAAAATGTTAATAACCTTTTTATTTTTTATCCGATTTTTATAAAATTTATACCAACATTTTTTATTTTTCATGATCTTTCAAATGAGACCAATATTGCCTATGTAATTTTAACGTATGTAAAATATGTAATTTTGCGTGTAGAAATATGTAACTCACGTCCAGTCAGGCCAAATGCAACTCGTGTGTATAAATATGTAACTCTATGTGTAAAAATATGTAACTTTACTTAAAAAAATATGTAACTCGCGTTCAGACAGGTCAAATGCAACTCGTGTGTATAAATATGTAACTCGCGTGTATAAATATGTAACTTTACGTGTAAAAATATGTAACTCTACGTGTAAATATATGTAACTCGCGTTCAGGCAAGTCAAATGCAACTCGTGTGTATATATATGTAACTCGCGTGTAGAAATATGTAACTTTACGTGTAAAATATGTAACTTCACATATAAAAATATGTAACTCACATGTATAAATACCTAATACAATAAATTTTTTATATAAACAATTTTAAGATAATTTGTGATTTACACAATTATTTTTCTGTATTAAATTTAGTTTGGTTTTCCTTATAATCCAATACACATTAATATAATAGTTTGATAATTTCTTAAAATTACATAAGCAATATTGGTCTCATTTGAAAGATCATGAAAAATAAAAAATGTTGATATAAATTTTATAAAAACCGGATCAAAAATAAAAAAGTTATTACCATTTTTTAAAAACAAAAGGATAAAAAATCAGGAAACCAGGCCTCAATACTCCGTCGTTTTGCAACCGGGCGCACCATCCTCATGGTGCGCCGGTTGCACGATATAATTTGCGGATGATAATTCCTCACTAATTGCTTATGTGGAATGTCTTCCACTTATATTTAGCCACATATGGAATGCATCAATACATTCCACAACACGAATGCACGGGAGAGCTACCCTTAGTAATATACTTCGTTTACTATTAAGAGTCTTATTATGTTATTAACGGTGTGAAGCACGAGTGATTTATTTTTTGGATAACCAATGAGAGAATGACAAATAAGCTATTTATAACTCAGTTTTACTATTAAAACGATAGATGGTGTGGGTGACTAGGTGAGATGAGATTGCATAATTTTTACACTTTTTAGAGCTATATATACGATAGTCTAAAACTCCGTATAAGAATTGTGAAGTTTTGAACTTCTACGTTTTTCCCACACCGGCTGAAGAAGGTTGTTCAGCCTCTTGACTGCCTTATAAATAATTTACACCTTTAAACATATTTTTAGGCAACGGTTAGTTCAGTTGCCATAAGCACCGAGACCATTCGTTGTCAAGGCTAAGCTTTGTAAAATTTTGGGCTGCCTTTTATCAATGAGGTTATAGTTGACGCTTTCAGCCTAGGCAGTCCTTTTAAGCTTGGGCTGGGCTGAACATTAATTTTGGGTTGGGCTGGAAAATAAATCTCTTCCTATGCTACTAAAAAAATTGGATTGGAGCCTACCCCTGCCCCCATATAGATCCGCCCCTGCAGGCGTGCGCGGGGAAGAAGGGAGCAGGAGTGAAGAATGAGAAAGGAATCCAAAGGAAAATGAAAAGGAACTGGTAGCCATCAAAATGAAAAGGAACTGGTAGTCATCAAAAGGAACATGTGAATTGGTAGCCATCAAAAGAAGCCTTTATCAATCCACTGCCCCACACCGCATCACGAAATCCCGCCATCATCCAAAGGTCTAGGGCATCACCCTCTTTTTTCATGTTCGTGCATAATATCATTAAAATCGCCCACAACCAACCACGAGAGATCACTACAATCTGCCAGCTCTTTAAGAAGTTCCCACGAGGCCCTGCGTCTATCACTCTCCGGGCAACCATAGAACCCAATGAGCCTCCATGTTAATTGAGACAAACCGCCTGTGACCTGTACATCAATATGGTTCCGCGACGAGCTTTCAACAGTTATATCATAATCATCTTTCCATAGCAGCGCCAATCCACCACTTTGACCCACACAATCCACCGAAAACACATCCTGAAAACCCAATGTTCTTCTAATGCTTTCCATCTTCGGCAGCCTAGTGAGCGTCTCCATGAGGAAGACAATGGATGGGCGATAAGTCGAAACAATATCCGCTAAAACTTGGACAGTGGGCAGGTTCCCCAGACCCCTGCAATTCCAGCTTACACACCCCATAGTTTACACAATAACCAAACAACACCCGAACAGGCTGTTTAACAACTGACGAGGACAAAAAACTTCTCCATGAAACGAGGGAGATAAAACCACTGAGAAAAAGACTCGGGACCACACATAGAAAGGAAAATCGAACCCAGAGAGATGTAAACCGCAAACTTACACCCTAGATTAGTCGAGAGTCATATGTGTGCGCATATCGACGACTGCTCCGCCCCATGCCGGCGATTAGGGTTCGCGATCTTCTGAATTTGGTTCTTAGACGGACTGTTATTAGCCGAATCCTCGTTGTAAGCGGTTGAAAGCTAGCCGTGTTCAAAATCCTTCACCGTAAGCGGTAGATGATCAACGGCGCTGCACCAATCGTCATGACTCTTGTTCAGCGTGCACTACTGCGCTTTTATTTTAATTCTCTTGAACATGTTTTTTCTCAAAAAGATTACTCCCTCCGTCCCGTTAGAAGGTTTCCACTTTCCTTTTTTGGACGTCCCGTTAGAAGGTTATCATTTCCATTTTAGGAAACAATTAACAATCTTAAGTGATAAATTAGTCATTAAATATTAAAAATAATACATTTATAACATTACAGTTATCAATGCTAACACATTATAATATATACCTACTAAAATTATTTCTCAAAATATATCCGAAGTACTTTATTTAATTATCACCTAAATAATCTTGTTGTTTTGCTATGGGAATTTTCTAGCGGGACGGAGGGAGTAGTAAACAAACTTCAGGGTACGCCAGTCTGAATAATAGACTAGGCTGAAATGCTGAATAATGACCAGTCTCGGGCCTCAACATATACGAGCACGGTCTTTTTAAACAGAAGTCTAGCTTGACTGATTCCACCCCAGGGAGATTAGAGAGTAGAGACTTTGTCCACTTTTAATTTTTCACTTTTAAGTTGGACTTGATTTAGCCTCCAGACCAAACAAGATTTAAAATCTACCCAAATTTAGACGTAAAATACGCATAAACATACATATACCATACCAAAAGATTGAACAGTGATCAATGGTAAAATAGTTGAGACTAATCACCCAAAATTTATTCATTCAGTTAGAATAAATTGTAATGTACTCTCCTACAACACACTTAACGCCTCAAAGGCTCAAATGATCAAACCATTATAACTCATAATTTAAACTAACCATTCATTGAAAACGGTTCAAACTTCTGTTTCAGAAAATTATAAACAAAACCAAAAAATCTATGTTATCTGATGCTATATTATAGCTGAAAATAGGGCTCATCACTTTTTTCTCCACTCAGTACGACCCCTAGTTATCTCAACTCCACCACTGGATAGTCTAAGCAAATGCACGAAGCGCTTCCGATCACTGTTAATGGATGCCGGCTCATCAAATGGTTCACGGCTTGTGAGAGAATCAACCACATCATCGTGCTGGCATTCTCTTTTATAGTCCAGTGTGATGGTTTGCAGCTCATATGTGTCAATGATTTCTTGAGGCATACTCTGTTTTTAAGAAACCCATGTTAGCAGTCTTGCACCTTATGATAATAGATGCATGATGGCAACAGCAACAACTGTATTATACCAATGCTTCAACTGGAGTTATAAGGGGAATTTGTCATTTCGCCGCATGTTTTACCACAATTATTGGCTTTGCGTTTCGTGTTTTAGTTCGTTTGACTTTACACCCCGAGGATGCAAAGTCAAATATTGCCATTTTGGGATAAAACATGGGGTGCAAAACACAATCATCAAATTTCAGTTCTTTTTTACTGGAGTTTTTACCAACCTCTAGTACCCATCCAATGTAGGTGACGAAGTTAACATGGTGGTTCATGTCCAAATCACTTCTTCTTGGCTGCAAAGTATAACTGAATATGTCAGTACTCCCTACACACATCAGGGTTCTACCACAACACTTAGGGTCTGTTGGGAACATGAAAAATTCTAGCAATACAAAATAGGGAGGTAAATATAGGGGGATTTTGAAGGAAAGAAAAATGTTCAGGAAAGTATAACATTTTTTTACATCAATAAATTTATTTTTTAATGTTTGATTGTACTTGTGTTTGTGTATATATTTGATATGGAGTAAAGAAATAAGTTAACTTTACTGAAAATTTGACAGATGGCAAACCATCCAAGAGCCCTTAAGGACCCTCCTGCAAGAACAACACTAAAATTGGCTGATTACTTTATTATCAACTCTTATTGTCCTTCAAAGGAAGGTCTAATTTATAGGCAAGAGGAGTTTATTAAGTAATAGTAGTACAATTCAACCCATTCGATCAGTTTGTCCCTGACTATTTGCCAACCACAATCAATAATCAACCAACACAGCTATCGCTCATTTATTCGATATATTATATCTTTACTGCTAGATGATATTCCTCAGGCATGTCATTATTCCTATCGTAAATTCTAAGCAATCTTATTATATTAAAAAAATTTAAAACACAGACTATTTTTCATTTTCCATTGTATTTTCCCTAATAAATCCAAATATAACAAAACGACTTTCCGTAGCATTTTCTTTCCTTTCCCTGGCATTTTCTGGGGTCAAACCCAGCCTTAGTATTACAAAGTGAATACTTACCACTAGCCGTAGGACAGAATACTCAGCAGGATCTTCCACCTTAAGTATTTTCTTTGAGCTGGAATTGTTCTTCTCATTGAAAGAAAACCTAGCAATAGATAAGCTCATTACTATTAACACTCTACATAAGAGCATTGGGACACTCTAATAGATGGAAAACATTATAAGCACATAAGAGAAAGAAAACAAGCACTCCATCTTTTAACATCAATATGGTACTTGAGAACCATCCTGAAAATATATGGCACATCAAATGATCACCGCCATCTTCATGATCACCAACACCTAATTCCTTCTATGGTCAGTAGCATATAAAACTAAGTGCCACTAATGTTTTAAAAGTTAGTCAAAAGTGTATATATGGAAAACTTTTAATGGCAAAATTTTACTTTGATGAAATTCCACAACTGATCATCGCAGATTTTTCTTTCTAGTTGCCTGGAAAATATCTTGACACATCCACAAGTTCAGATAGTTACTGCAGTTATGTCTCATTACACAATTGATATTGGATAATCAACAAGCGCATAATGGAACATGACCTAGCACATTAAAGGAAGGGAAGAAGACTAGACAAATAGTATCACATGCATAATTGCACTACAATCAATGCTGACTTGTTGGTAGAAAGCTTACATGAGAGCATTAATATAGCTTCAGAGTATTAAGCATATAGAACAGAAAGCAGGCATTTGTTAACACCAGTACACACAGAGAAAGAGAAAAGAGAAGAACAAAAAGTATAAACCACTACTCCATTACTAGGAGCATAAAGAGGGTAGAAAAAAGCACAATAGACAATAGATGCTATAAACACAAAGTTTAGAAAAGCGCAAGAATCAAGATAGTGAAGAAAGGCATGGACTTTCTGCTCCGCTGCACCATTGCATTAGTTTTATTAATGGGATCAATGCATTAAAAGTTTGAGCAGTCATCAAATCACATGAACATTGGGAAAAAAGTATAGAGAAAGGAATACTACTTTTACCTTGGTGGGTTGGGGCAAAAAGGTAGCAACTCATTACGAACATCATCAACAACTTTCTGAAGCCGTCTAGTGTCTTGGTTCATCATCAACCACATGCTGCAATTAATTAAAACGTTTAAGTATCTTTTAGAGCATGAACCACATAAAGGAAAATCAGTAGGTGAAAACACTTACTGTAACAGTAATGATGTTTCTTAGATATAAAATTTATCATTCAGAGATTATACTATATACGTACTACACCATATAATATAACAGCACAATAAGTGGTCATAACTGTATATACATATTCCACTACACCTGGTGCATCTTCCAATCACTTCGCCGTTTGCACAGTCCTTAATTTCCCAATCACGCCGAGTCCCAATTTTTCCCTCACTGGCAATCCAAGTCTCTATCTCTATGACATCACTCCTGCTCAAACAATGAGTTGATAATACAGTTCGTGATTTCAACATAATAATTGTACATAGAAGAAGGAAATTAGTACACTACCAGGCAGGGTACTTAAAAATCTCAATGTGCATTCGTGCAGCAACCCATATAAGACGCAACTTCCTCATGGTGTCAGTTGTTGCGAATCCATCTGTTGAAAATCCTGCACTCTGAGCATGGTTGCATGAAACCTCCTGCAAACGAAAATCTTAAAAAAATCAACTTCAGATCTGTAGAAGCTGGATTATTAGGAAATGGGTTAAGAAAATAAAAAAAGAATCAGATGTTACTAAAAAAAATGAAATGTCATCAATCTTAAATTGAACAATGTATCTAGCACTCTAGCAGATTGAGTGACATTTAAATTGTCATAATTACGAATGTCGCAAGGAGAATCGAGTTAAAACTGGAGGACTTGAGATAAATCAAAACAAGATCCTGGTGAAAGGAAGATGATTGAATGCTAAAATTTATCCGTGCCGAATTCTTATGTGTAGAGAAGAGAGGCCATTACCTGCAAGAGATTGGCGATTGATTCAATGGTGGCAGTTTTGTTGACCCCGACCTCAGAGCATCGAATGATATACTTCTCCTTGAACGACAACCTGTCTGCCTCAAGGCTACCATGCCGTAGCCGACTAGCAAGGGTAGCCTCAGAGGCTGCCGGCTCACTAATCTTGGGCTCCTGAACTGACACGGCCATAACCGGACTAGGCCGTAGAGATTCGCCGAGAACGACGGCATTCCGGCGTCGATTGAATGTCAGATTGCTGGGATGGAGAAAATGGGGAGAGTTCAGGAGGGCGAAATTGGATGTGCCACGAATGGAGTTGCAGGTCGACAGCATTGTATGTGAATGAATGAATTCACAGGTACGCCGGCGAAATGGGTTCCAGTAATCTCCCTGGGCCTGCGCATACAAGAGATTGTTCGCTCCAGAGAGTAGTTCTGATGAGCAGTTTTATAGCATCGGCGACTTTGGCGATGAGAACGATGCTGCAAGGATCCAGATTAGAGGTGGAGGGAAATGACACTGGGTATTTGTACTAAGTAAGTATATAGCGCGTGGGCATATATATATAGAGTACTCTTCTCGTCAGGCCGGCCTGACGGGAACCTCCGTCCGGCCGAGCCCGTTTGGGCACCTTCCCGGTGGAATTTTTTGATGAAATTTTTTGAGCATGTTCCTCATCAAGTCTAGTTTGTCCATACCAAATTTCAGCTCAAAATTCGATCGGGAAGGTCGTCAAATGATTTTTGCAAGTTAACTGGTCCAGAAAATACATATTCCGGACCAGTTAACTTGCAAAAATTTTTTGACGACCTTCCCGATTGAAGTTTGAGCTGAAATTTGGTATGGACAAACTAGACTTGATGAGGAACATGCTCAAAAAATTTCATAAAAAAATTCCACCGGGAAGGCGCCCAAACGGGCTCGGCCGGACGGGGCAGCCCGTCAGGCCGGCCTGACATGAAGTTTTCTCTATATATATATATATATGCGAAAATCTATCTAGTTCCGTCTCATAAATAGGAGAAATTCTTAAATAGGACCATATATGTTTTATTCCTTAAATAGGATCATATTACTCTTATTCCAAAACCTACGTAATTTCTCATTCCATTTTTACCCCCTCTTTAGTCAATCGAGAATCTCTTCTACGCATAACCTTATCACTTTCTCCTGTGCACCATCCTCCATCTCCCATTCTTCTCAATCTAGCAGATCCATCCATCTCCCCATCTTCAATCTATTTCTTCTCCATAGCATAGCAGATCGATCGTCTGCTCCATCTCTGCACATCAGATCGATCAACTTCACCACATTGTCTATACGCCGTCGTCGATTTCATCCTTAGCCATCGCCGCCGCCGCCGACTCCACCGCGCGCACGCCGCTGGATCAGGTTTGTTCTTCTTCCTCCTCCTCCTATTCCTCCTCCTATTATGATATTTTTGACTTTGAAACAGATTTTTCTGGATTTTCCTCCATTTCTATGTTGTTTTGTAGTTTTGACATTCAATTTGTTGTTTTTTGGACTTCTATTTCAAATTTCCGTTTCCTAATTTCTTGACTTTAAAAAAATCAATTTTCCAGATTTTTGGACTATGACATACAATTTTGCCAAGTTTATGGCATATATTTGGATGATGACATACGATTTTGCCAAATTTATGGCAGAAATGTACTCTGATAATCATATTATGGCACAACACTTTTTGTGTAAATCATTTTTTTTATTTTTTTATTTTGTCATTAAATTCTTATTTCTGTTAAAGTTTAGTTGTGGACTACTGGACTTCATATTTTGCCAAGACTATGGCAGTTTGTGTAAATCCGTCAAGATAAATCTGCCAATTTTATGGCAGATATGTTAATTTTTTGTCATTAGCTTCGTTTTCTAAATTCTGATTGTGAAAATGTGCTTATTCCATTTTTTTTCGAATATTCGGATTTTGAATTCATATTTTTTGCCAAACTTATGGCAATTTTGTGTTAATCTTCCAACATAAATCTGGCAACTTTATGACAGATCTAAAAATATGCAAACTTAATGGTGATGATGGCGGAGGATGGCGGCGGTGCCAACAAGGGAGACAGCAGGCGGTACCGGCGAGGGCGGTGGTGGCAGGCGGCGCCGGCGAGGATGGCGGCATGCGGTTGCAGAGAGGGTGGGTTAGGTCTTATGAAAGCTCCCGTATGCGTAAAAAGGCCAAAAGCATTTAATTAGAGTTCAAGCCTTCAAGGATAAAATTGGAAAAAAAGACCCTTTTAAGTCTTACGAAACATCAATTATGTTTCTAGTCCTATTTGTGCACATGAAACTAATTTTAGTCCTATATAAGTCATTAACTCTAAATACTTTGTATACCAAGAGAACATCCCAAATGTGTACCAATACTTTTTTTTTAGAAAGTTTCAACAAGTTTTAGAATTTTAAAATTAAATTGTTATTTTTTCCCCTAGAAATAGTTGCACTACTAAGCATTAACATGACATTAATGATTTTTGTACAATGCACTGTCATCTTTCAATATATAGAATAGAATTAGTGGAACAATTTTGTTGTGATTAATAAATTGAGCTTTGAATTAATCGCAATTACATTGATATAGCGTGTGATGCAAATGATATTTGGTATTATGTATGTAGAACAACATTTCTTTTTTTCACACATAACTTGTAGCGGTGTAAGGTTTTATGGGCTTTCAAAAGGAAAATTTGCATGTTTATGAGTTGTAGAATTGTACTCCCTCTATTCTACAATTGTTGGCACACAAGCTATGTGATCAAGAAAAATAATTGATGGGTATTGGAATTTGGGCAGTAAAAAATAAGAGAGATGTTGTGTAATAGATTTGGTAAAATAACAATACATCATTTGTAGACAAAAGTACAAAGTTTGAGGCTATAGCCCAAAATGCTAGCTAGTGACATAGCCACATGCGTCCCATAAATACTTGAGGAACATGTCAGCTGATATCATGTTGATGTGGGATGATGTCAGCCCTTCGAAATCTGGGTTTGTGATGACATTAGCAACGGCTATGATGTGAGCCATGAATATGCAACTGGATGAAAATACTGCCATGGAAATGGCCAAGTACGAAACCGTAACAGAGTCGAGGCGAATCATGTTCGCTCGGCCTCTTCTGATAGCGTCAGTTCCAGATCCACAGTGGAAATATTCAGGCTTGGCTTCACTGCAGTAGCCCGTTCTGAAACAAACTGGGTTTGCCAGCGCGAAGCTATGATGAGATCTCGACATCGACGCGAGAGCTCAGCCCACTAGGTAAACGACTTGGGTTGCTATCTTGGATCGTACAAGATAATTATCGAGGTATGATCAATTCGGATATACAAGGTGTGAAAAGTGAGGGGGGATACAAAACAAAGTGACAAAGATTAGAGAAATGTAGAAAAGAGAAAGAGAATAGGTGAAATAGTATAAAAATATATAAAACTTTCCAAGTATATAAAAGTTCAAACATTGAAAAAGCTCCACACAACTATACATTGTTCGACTATTTTATAGTTCATTGAGTATTTAAGGAATTGTACTTAAATTTTTTATGTCCTCACATCTGTATGCAAGAATGGTAGGTGTACATTTTTGTTTATATTATAAAGCATCTTTAGACAAATGCCAAATTGGAGCATGATCAAAATTAAGTAGCTTGTGAAGGGAAAGTGTCATCACTCATCACCACTTTCTCTTATTACTATTATTATTATTATTATTTATTTCTCTTTCGTGTAAAGTGGTACCTAGATAAATATCAAAGGTCAATAGGTGTTACCTAGGTTTGAATCTATTAGCTTTGTGTGGAGTTTATTTCCAAACTTTTGGTAAACTCTTTAGATGAGCTATTTGTTGGGAAAGAAGTCTTGCACTAATTTGTGTAAAGTTGCACTGCACGATGCTTCAACATCTTGGAGTAAATAAAAATGGAAACCATGCAACATATCAAAGTTTAGTCACAAAAAAATTGAATATTTGAACTTTCAAATTAAATCTATGTAGCACATCTTGATCTTTTCGGATCAAGTCAAGGTGGCCAAAAAATATTAAAACATTAGCCTTGGTATGCTGTAATGATACAATTTCCCGTAAAATCTGTATTAAGAATTGAATTAATCACAACTTTATAGTAATGATTTAATCATTAAAATAATAACATTATGTCTATTTGATTATATATCTGAGTATTTCAACTAATATTTTGAGGCTTTGGAAAACATTAAGGAGGGGCCAATATAACTTATGTTTACAATAGAATTAAGTTTAAGTCTTAAGCTCTTTATTAAAAATGATTCAAATAGGGCTAAACATGGTGAAAGTGTACGCAAGGATCACAATTTTCCTGTGTCATCTGGTAGGAATAAAAGTGAGAATAAATATTAAGAACACCCTTATTTGAAAAACCACATATATCTGCAAGGATGACATCCTGAAACAGAGATGTCATTGAAGTGATATTATACTTCATTATCAAGCATTACATATCAAGTCAAATTGACATCACCGAGCAAAAAATATCTTCCTGACATGCAAAATAAATATCCGAGTTTACTTGGCATAGCTTGCTACCTGAAAAGGTGAGCTTGATTATCACTGCATAAAAATGTCATTTCAATTGCAACACGCGTGAATTAACGTGATCATGTGTATACTATATAGTTTACAAAGAGTTTTTGCCGTTTTTGGCCCCCGACTATTATGTCAATGACACTTTTGGTACTCGACTTCTAATTTTTCCATTTTTAGTCCTCTACTATTGTGCTAGAGACACTTTTAGTCCCCGACTTTAAGATTTCCCACATTTAGTCCCTGAGTATTGTCAAATTGACACTTTTAGTCATCTCACTATGATTTCGACACAATAAATGGAGGACTAAAAATGTCACTGTTATAACAGTTGAAGGACCAAAAATGTCACTTTTATGAAAGTTGAAGGACTAAATATGGAAATTTTCAAAGATGGGTACCAAAAGTGTCTCTAGCGCAATAGACAAGGACTAAAAATGGAAAAAATCAAAGTCGAGTACCAAAAGTGGCAATGACATAATAGTCGGAGGACTAAAAGTGGAAAAAACTCGTTTACAAATGTGCCAAACGCTACATAGAAGCATATAGATCTTAAAATGGGGTTAAAAGATAGTCACTCTTATTGTTACATTTTGACTATGTTTTAGTTCGATTAAGTCACCTTCTTATGATTAGAGCCTAACTCATAAGAAAAGAAAAAAAAAGAGGCTAACTCATAAATCTTGATTAGGAATGAAGTTAGATGAACCACACATTTACATAATTAAGCACATCCACATACTATCTCTAATAAATAAAAGTATTTTACAATACCTAATGTACCCTTTCATAACATTTAATCGTCTTTGGGTCAAGAGTCACCGTATATTCTACCCCATCTTCACCTATGGATTCATAACTGCTATTGAATGAAGAATTACTCATGTGTCATTGTGTGTAAAGAGTGAAGGGTTGGCTTTGGGCGTAAGAGTGGAACTCCAAGTAGGAATTAGGAGTCTGCCTCTAAGACCTTTATACGATTCAAAAGAGTTGACCAAAAAGTGAATCTTGAGTTTCATATATATTCATATTTCATAATCTTATATGCCGTAATTGTTCAATTTTGAATCTATTCCTTCTTGTGATTCTAATCACGAGCGGTCAGGCCGGTGATATACATGAGTTGCTCTCTAGCGGCGAGTCCGCTTGTGATTCCTCGAGCAGAGTTGACATCTGTTCCTAGTTGTGAATCCATGTTGTCGATTCAAGTCGTCATTTTGTTGATTCCTAGCTCGGTCGCTGACTCCCCGTGTAGAGATAGATTAAATGGGGGCGTCGTGTTCACTGGTAGCCTAATACTAAAGTAATGATATGGGTGGATGGACTTCACCGACTACTTTTCTCCTATCGAACATGTTTACATTTATTACTTTTCTCATATCGAACATGTTTACATTTATGGCCTATTTCAAGGAATGAATTATACCCTACTCTATTAGGCCACTTTTCCCGCCCAAACAACCAAGTAAAATATGGGTCGGGTCAGGTTATGAGTAAGAGTGGAGCATTGTGTCATAAATGCACACCTAGTGCTCTGTACTGCAGACAACTGATAAAGCTCTCTTGTTATCAATGAGTTTGTGTGTTCCAATTCGGATTCTCAACTCCGAATTATTCAAGAAATTAGCTTTCTCGAATGATATAAAAAAAATTGAAATGGTTAGTAATATAAACCGTGTTTTCCTTTCAAATTTAATGTTGTGTGCTTCAAGTTAGTACATGTTATTAATCATTAGTTTCGACACGCACACATACATAATCAAACATTTCACAAGTTTTAGTATAAAGCCATCCTAATTTATCAGTTCAACCTTACACCACAACCCAACTCAACATAGCTGTTAGTTCTCTTCCAGCTCAGGTCTCGTCCAAATATAACCCACAAAGGATGAAGAACACCACTAAAATCACTAAGGGGAGAAGGGGCGTCAGCCATCAACTTTAATTCTGGCCAAATAGTCTATTTCCAGCAAAACCCACCAAGGGAATGAAAAAGGGGATGAACTGTTTTAGGGATTACGGTTATCGCGGCCAGCCTTATTAGTAGAGAAGAGAACCGTTTAAATAGGCCAAGCAATCAAGTAAAGAAGGTAACTTACCTTCAAGAGCATATCACCAAATCGGACTGAGCTGCATAAGGAAAGAATCGAGCACACAGGGAAAAAGGAAAGAGGTGAATTCGACGCACCAAAAGAGGCGGTGCAGATGGACCGATTAAAACCATGGGTCGGGTACAAAATAGAGATTCGGGCTTATGAAAAGAAGTGGGCCAATACCAGCAATAGCAATGGCAATCAGTACAACAATGTTAGAAATTTGGTCACACATTAAAGGTGGATCATATGAAATCTACTTGGGCTCTGAAAGTGAGGGTTGTAAGGGCCATTAAGGTTTCATCACATTCGAGGGGTGGGGAGACACTACATGTTGTTTTCCATGAAGAAGAGAGTATATTATGTAGATAAAATGGAAAATTTGTTTACTACATTTTTGCTTAGTACTTTTCATCTAATATAAGCATCACTCCATTGATAGGGAAAACTCATTCTTGTTATAATGGAAGGGCCACATCTTAGACTGCAGAAGTCAAGAATAAAATAATATGGGGTTTATAATATTTGGAATTTCCAGTTACACCATAACTATCAGGCAGTGAAAATTACAACTCATTCACACATCATGTTCTTTATTAGTAGAATCCAAGTTAGGGAAATCAATCCCTAATTTCCTAAACTTTGTCAAATAAGATAGAAAATAAATAAACATTTTTATGCCAAATATATATTTATATAAATATGTGTTTGTTCAATGCTTATTTTTTAACTTTGAATTTGTATGTTGTAAAAAATTTATAATTTTAAAGTGTCCAAAATAACAAAAAAACAGTTCTTTGATTTCTTAAAAACTCTATGGTAGTACAAAAAGAATAAAAAATTCAGGTGAAATGGGTATTTTACAAGAATATTGTTAAAATAAAACTTATTTACATAAATATGACTATTCATTACTACAAGGTAGTGCTGTGGTAACTTAAGTTCAAAACTTGAACATGAATTACTATGATTTCATTACTACTATAGTAACTAGTCATATTTTTGTAAATCATCTTTATTTTGCTCATATTTATGTAATTATTTCCAGGTGAAATCAATATTTTTGTTTGAGGCTTAGTTTAATAAAAATGGTAATCAATATTTATGTTTTCAAAAAGAGAATAGATTTTTTGAGATTGAACACATTGTTTTGGCCTTGATAATAAACAACTGGTATGAAATGTTTCATTCACCAGGGCAATTGAGTAGGCCTAATGAAGATTACACAAATACTTGATACATCTATCTTAATATAAAAGGAAAAGAATTACACACACAGTACTCCCGCCCAAAATATTAACTGCAGTACGAGATGTTAAAATTGCTCAAAATGATGATCGGGTAAAAAGGTTGTAAAGGAATTTTGAGTAAAACATATTCTTATTGGCCAAGCTGGAGGTGTCTATAGTGCAGCCGAAATTTAAATGTTTCCTATTGGCTAGGATGTTGGTGGCTACTGTTGACACCCATCTTCCTTACGCCCTACAGCAGCTATAAAACCCAACTTGGATCTAAAAACAGTAGGTGATTGGACTACTCTATAATAATACATTCCAATAAAATAATATAACAAATAATATACATGCAACTACTGCGTATCCGTATTTTAAATACTAATCGGAGAGAATACATAGCTCACGTTCCACTTTCCTATAAATAGTAGGAAAGTCCTAGCGATGAACACTGATTGCGAAGCTAGCCTAACATTCTACTCCTCATCCTCAAGGTTTTCTCTTCTCCAAACTGTTCAATTTGGATGTAAAGAAAGTAGTCTTATTCTACTCCTCAACACAACTCCTCAATCTCAGTCTTATTTCTCCAAACTGAATAATCCATGTTTATTCATGAGTCCATGGATGCAGTTTCGACGGTCATGATATTGAGATGTATATTGTGAAGCCATAATGGCACACTCTTGGAGGGTAATCTCTATTTAACAACTTATCCTTAAATAGAGTGCAGTGTAGAGGCAACCACTCAGACCAAATAATTTTCTGCCTTTCTTGGTATTCCCAAAGTGTTTTTTGACAATTGGGTCAGTTTTGAAATGAAAGAAAAAATAATCTTCTTTCATCAAGTAATTTATTAAGATGATCAAAAAATACCGAGTGAATAGCATGAAGAGGTACGAACATGACCATCATTACTTTCGGGGTAGTAATAATATAGCTGCGATTGTTGAAAGCATATTTCCAGAATATGTTGAATCTGCAGGTGATATGAGTTGTTTGTGCGACCGTGCAATTTTGGCACTGACACTGACTGTGGTTGAAACTGTTAATGACTATATGACGGCTCTTAATGACTATCCATGGGTATTATTTAGTATTACCCATGGATAGTTGTATGTTGTAGTATCAAGGTTACCAATCGTTCTGTTTTGAAAATTCTAATTGTTGATGAAGATGAAGGAACCACTGACAAGACTCATAATGTTGTATTCAAAGAAGTGTTCAACAATGTTTATGTTTACATTAAATGCATATTTACAATGTTATGGTTTCAACTTATTTGTTGGATGTTTTTGATCTTTTAAGTAACGCTTAGTACTCTCATTTTGATCATAATATTATAAGTGTGTTTCGTTTAATGCTTTGATGTCTATCAGTATTACATGAAGATATATGTTTTCATCAATTGATAGTGTAATTTGAATTACTAACCATAAGTAAATTTGAAAGAAAATTTCTCCAACCGTGCATCGCACGGGTGAGTTTACTAGTATAAATAATGGAAGCATATATTATGAACATATACACTAATGGAAAATATGCATTCTATAAGTGACATTTAATATGTGTTGATTTTTGACTGTTATAGTATATCAACACGGGGTCAAATTCACAAATATTAAGAGCTTCGTGTTGTTTGGTGGGCTAAAAGTGTAAAAAGAAAAACTTTATCAACAACGGTTTCATGTTAACCCGCTGTAGAAAAGAAAAACGGGGTCACATTCATAATTTTTCAGAAATTCAATCTGACGCGGGGTCTTTTTTGAAATTTCAAATACTCCATCCGTCCCAAAATGAACTTCTCACTTTCCTTTTCGGGCAGTCCCGAAATTAACTTTACAATTCAAAACTTTCCTTATTTGGAAAATAATCTACATAAAAAAAGTGCCAAACAGTGTCAAACAGTGTCCAAACAGTGTCAAAAAGTGTTTAAACAGTGCAAAACAGTGCACTCTACAGTAAAATCAAATTTATTTTCTTAATCTGTGTGAAGTTAAACTGAGAAATTCATTATGGGAGGGAGGGAGTAATTATTTTCCATGTCGACTGGGTTTTTAACCCTTATAGAATGATCCTCAAAATTAAAGCCAGCTTCGAAAATGAGAAGGGTTTCTCAGGGTTTCTACCGACAGGAGGAAAGGTCTGCCGCTACCTCAATTCGCCGCTCATGACGCCCGCACATCGTCAATCCTAGACGATGCCCGCTCTCCAGCCCTCCTAGAAGACGCTCACACTTCGATGCTCCTAGAAGATGCCCGGACTCCATCGCGCCTAGAGGACGCCTAGACGACGACCTCCGCACTCCTAGACGACGCCTACACCCTGCCGCTGCTCTCCTGTTTTCCACAGCTCATCCACTTGCCCGATCTTCATAGCCCAAGAACTTCACTCCAGCTTATTGAAGTAAAAATTCTTTTTTTACATATTAATTTTTTTCTACTATTGATTCTTGATTTATGTATATGTTTCATTCACTTTGTGCAGTTGAATTTAATTTGTTATAAACCATGAAAAAAAATTATTTCTATGTTTTTTAATTTTCTAATGCCTACTAACTGTTTGTAAGAATGTCACATTGAAGTTTTCAATCAATTGTCTTTACATAAGAGTGATTATGTCGCAAAAACATGTTTCTTTTTCTTTATATTCGTATCTAGTTTAATGTGGGTGATCGAAGTCTTTTAGTTTTAACTTTAAATTTTTGTTTGCGACTAAGAATTAACTTTAATTTTAGTTGATCGTGATTGTAGTGTGGTACATATTGAGTTTGTTTAGATCTGAAAATTTGCTTTTTATATATGGAAAGCTAAAAGTTTAGTTCATAATCCTGGTGCTTTAGGTATTTTTTAATTAGTTGGTCGTGTTAGTACATCTTAATACATAACGTGTCATTATTCTTTCAAATTTAAGCATTTTTTATGATGGTATATATTAATTTGACCTGGTCAATATACTGACACAAACTCAAACATATGTTATCATATCGGACACTGTTTCCATTTCATTTGCCCAACTTCAACATAAGTAAAAAAAAATCTAGATTCCTATGACATTTTCTTTTCCCCTTTTTTTAGGTTTCAGTTATTCTTCCTAGTCCGGTACTAATAGGCTCTGCAAAAAAATTAAGTAAACAAATGGGACTAAAAGACTATGATTATTTCATCAACATAAGTAAATTTGACCATAGCTCTAGAATATTGCCACTGATAGTTGAACCATAGAACATAACAGTTGTGTTTAATCAAAGCCAGTCACGACTACATAGCTCTAGAATATAGTGAGAGTATTTCTCTAAGACCTTTTTTTGAGAGAGTAATATTTATGAAAAAACAACTGCAAATAGAAATGAATAATGAACATGAAAAGTATGAAGTATATAGTCATTTGTAGCCTATTTAGCCTCTCTCATTTACACCAGTCTTTCTTTTGCAGTATATAGATTTGGTGGTGATGTCACATAGTCTATAGTATCTACATAGCGAGTCATTCTTAGTTTTTCTTTTTGTTTTTGAAAAATTTAACCATTCTAATGTGTTAAAATTTAAGCTCTTATTATGTTGTCGTATTCTTTTTAGGATTTAATTTCATGCTGCTGATGAGGTAATAGTATTGCTTTCTCTTTCTTAAAAAGATATAATCGTCATCTTATCTAAACTGTTGCAACTTTGAGGAGATTAGGATAGTATTGTAATATGAGTGTGTTTCTTATGCACAAAATGGTGTATTATCTAAACAAAATAGAATATACTTTAGCTCTCTTTCACAAGGATATTTTTTCATTTATTGTGGTGTTTTGTGTAGTTACCCTTTTCAGTTGTTAGTATCATACTATCAAAGTGTTTCACAGGACTGTGAATGGACAAGAGCAAACATGAACACCTCCAAATTTTATTGTGGAATGTGCACTCATTCAATTGTATCTGATTCCAAAATTGAGTGATAAATATAGAGAAACGAGAGAAGACTTTAAGTGAGTAAGAGCCTCTTCTTGAGCTTCGCATATACATTTGCAAATTAGACTCTTATTTGTTATTTTCTTTGTTCTACTCACTAATTTTCTCCACTTCAGCTTGTCAATATTGTATTACTACCTGCTCTGTTCTGCTCACTAATTTGAATGTAACATTCTTAAATGAATGTTACATTTATCAGAGCAACCCTGCGATAGTGTGCTGATCCGTTGGATATCGGGCAGACACTTAGCACTTAGCAGGGGAAAAGATTCTGGGGTTTGATTGAGATTGGTTTAAGGGCGCAATGAGGATGTTGTGATCCTAAGTGGGGGTGATTGTAATACCCGAGATTAATTTAAAAGGGATTAATAGTACTACTCATACCAACAGAGGTGCATGTCCTTCTTTATTTTTATATTTCAATTTTGATTTCATTTTTTATTGTTCTTTCTTTTCACTTTCTGTAAAAGATCAATAAAGAAGGGGAGGTTGTAAAGATGATAGTTGAACAGTGGAATTATTGGGTGGTGGAGGAGGAATTGAAAAAGATCGTCAGATTTGGGCCAAAGATGGTATAATAATTAATGGTATAAAAGGAAATTGGCTTATTATTTACTTCCTAAATGGGAAAGGTTGCAATTAAATTGAAACTGCCGAAAAAGGAAAATGTTGCATTTATTTAAGAACGGATGAAGTATATTCTAACTTCTACTTTTAACTTTAAAATACTTTTTTTTAATTAAAAGTTGGAATTAGCAAACACATTTTTTAGATTTTTTTTTTAATTTAAAAGTTTAGAAGCACTTATTTAAAGTTATAGCAAACCCTCCTCCACTATGTACAACCCCTATTTTTCGTAACAAGGAAAATTATTTTATATTGCCTATTATGCCCTTTTTATTTAAAACAGCCTCTCCTCCGGCTATGAAAGCTCCGATCCATCGCCCTTTTTTTTTTGAAAGATTCGGGAAGAGAGCATTTGTAGCCCCGTAGATTTAATTACTTCATGCGTTGTTACTGAGTATTGAGAGGACGGAAACCAGCCAAAATTTTGGAAGAGATCCAAGCAGCAAAGGTAAGCTTCTATCACCACATGTTTGAGAAACATTTTTCATTTTCTGGGTTGCTTGGCAATTTACGAGCACTTTCATGAAACAATCAAACTCTTTCATTTGCATTCTTGGGCGGAAATCCATCAAATTCCTTTTTCCAAGCTTCAATTTGTCATTTTTGGAATTTTTAGCTCCATTTAGCTACTTTTTTCAGAAAAAAAAACTCATTTAAAACATTGTCCACAAACGAACTGGATTTTGTTTCCTTTAAAATCCGTTTCTTAATTGTGTTCAAAAGAAGGATGGGTTGAGCCTTTCCATCCCAGTACGAAGCTTCCCATCTATCTTCCAATTTCAGGAACCAAACCTGTTTCAGTTTCAAAGGCACTGTTCATCGTCTTCTCCAACCAGATATATACCGACAGTTTGTGCATGTCAATTTGAATCAAAACAAGTGCCAAAACGGTGATAGCAAATTGGAGACCGTAAGATTAATTAGAATTGAATCAATTGTTTGGTTGGAGTGAGGTATAGTAGCAATGTTCTGTGATGTGGGCAGTTGTCGATTGTTTGTGGTATATTAGGGAAAATTAGTCATTTAAAATAGCTAAATTTATTAAAATTTAATTAAATAACTGTGAATAGCAATTTTGTGGTTGTATTCAGAATTTCCCTTACTCCAGAATCTGGTGTCCGATTGAGTAAGGCCGGAAATAGGCCAGAAGAGGCTGCCCAGTGACCAGCTGCAATTCCGATATCCGATTGACGCTGATTCTCCGCTTTATTGCTTCTGTGGCTCTATTCTTCTTTCAGACTTTGGAGTTCTTCTGTTGTGGCAATCTGACCTAAGAATCCACGTTCTAGCGCAGCCCAGGTATTACATTATTAGTCTCAGTCTTTACACTTTTGCATAATAGCTTCAGGGTAACCCAAGGTATGTGGATACGCAAACGAATTTCTAATTATACATATGCTTGGATGGGTGATATCTAGATTTTGATATCCTGAAATGGGGAATAAAATTAATTCATAAGTTTCTGAATAAGTATACACAAAAGATTTAAATAGAGCCCGGAGAGGCGTATACAACTCTATCATTTCAAAATCTCTGGGATTTATTCATTGTGCTGAATACCACTTCAAGTTCTATTAAACTGATATAGTTGAGTTATAGATGTCTATATCTATTTCAATAGATATAACCATTACCATGTGTATCAGTCTTGTGAAAATATGTAAAATGAGTTTTTCCGAACTGTGTAGTTTTTTTTACTTAAAAAATGCTGAAGTAATTATATATCCTGTCATAATGTTATAAACAAGGCGGCTTTGGAGTTATTCAGGGTGGACGTCTAACATTTTTTAGGTATGAACAACTGATATAATCAGTATGTAAGGCGACTACTGTTTGAGATGTTGAGTTTAATAATAAATCAACATGATGGGAGTTCAGTATTCAATTTCTAAGATATTAACGTTTATCATGTTTTCAATTTCTAAGTTTCCATCTTGTATTTTACCATATTGGCATCTTTCTCAATTTGGACCCTATGAAGTAACTGACAGTCTACCAATCCCCCTCTATCATGTATTCATAAAGTTACAGAACATGATTAGAAAAATTACAATAAATGCCATCACCTTCTTTATTTTATTTTTTAGCATATATACCCACTAAATCTGTTCATAAAGAAGTGGCTATCTGACATCACAAACCTTGCACCTAGTTACATATTTTTAGATGGTAGTATGGTGCTAGATTGCCTGAAGTACTGAACTAACTTGGAGACAACCCCATGAAGATTTATTAAACCTATAAATCTTTGTTGCATCAGATGATTGTGAATTGATTCGTCAATAAAAATGTCACTTCTTCGTGTTGGACGCGCTCGAGTGCTTCTTTCTTATAATAGAACTCTTCTTCAGCCATCATCATTATCATCATCCAGGTATTGAGCCGTTTACATGTTTTATGAAATCATCTATATGTATATATGCTTAGAACTTCTAAGGTGTTGTGATGCACTGTTATCGTATTTGTTTCCTTGAAATGAACTAGATTTTCTCCCGTGCGATGCACGGAATAAAAAGATATTCAATATTTTATATCTTTTTTAGTATATTTTTTTTTTAATTAGGTGAAAAAGATTTAATGTTCTAACTTCTAAGTGAACTATAAAAGAGTCGATCAATTTAAAAAAATAAACATTATATTATACAAATCCTATTTTCCTTAGATTAAGTAGAAAGAACAAAATAAATTTTATATAGTGACAGAAGTACAAATATAAACTTGATTGAGTGGGCAGCCAATTGTATCAAGTACTGAAGCAACTTTGCGATATTGCACTTGCTATTATCTAGGGCCGAACAATTCTTCTGTGATGAGAGATGCATTAATTGTGAGGCATCATGGGCTTTTTAGCATTGTACTGGAGAAGCTAATTCTGAAAATTAATTAATAGCTATACACATGGATCTAGAAGCTATCAATGCGTTGAGCATTTAACACTTCCCCATTAATCTAATTCGCAATCATCCAGTGTATGAGTTGAGACATATGGAGTATCTTTACCAGTATACGGAGTCATATTTGACCCATGATTTTTGGCAGGACTTTGAGCCAAATTTCCTCTTCCTTTTGTATATAGTACAAAGTAAGATATTAAATCAGTTTATCTCCTTCTCAGATATTTATCTTATTAAATCTCATGCAGTGAAGAGGATAAACATAGCTGTGGGTGACGTCTATTTATGATTATCTAAAAAATTAGGGAGCACAGCAAACTAAGTTTCTTTAGCAAAACATCATTTCACTTCAAGTAGTTTCGGTCTTTAAGAGTGTTTGAATATTGAAACTAACCTCAAAATCTATTTCCAAGATACTTATTTTTCCTACTAATATAATGACGAATGCATTGATTTTGAAACGTGCTTCCTACATCTTAGATCTTAAATTTCTGCAAAAAACAATTGTAAATGTAAGCCCTCCTCTCAAGATATCTACTAACTCCAACTAATACAAATTCTAAACTCTAGTGCTTCTTGGTAACTTTTTTCTGCATTTTATCTTTCCTTACCAGTAGATATCAGATCTCAAATATTTTCCTTCAACTCAGATCCCTTTGCGTTTTAGTGTAAGTCATTTATGGTTCTGCTTGTCTGTAAGTCATTTCAGCCTCTTAAAATTTTCATAACCAGATGAAGTCTCAACGCTTAATGCCTTAATTCAATTAAATTAGCATTTTTAATTGAATTATTTAATTCAAACCCTACACTTAGCATTTTTTCCCCAGACGCGTCATCCTATCAATTTAATCTTGATATACGGAGTATATATTTAGATTAGTAAAATTCAATGATACTTTTAAGAAATTTATCTGAAATATTTTTTTATGAAAATATATAAATACAGAGTATGATTTTCCTAAAATATTACTCCATATGATTTACGTACCCTCCACCACCTCTCCAGACTCTCAAACTTGCTTCCTCTCATGCTTTCTTTCATTATCAGTGTCTTAGGAGTTAGGGTGGCGTAGTGTCCAGATACTTTTCATAGCCTTGTCTGGATAGAAATAATTTGGGGGAATTTGACTTTGAACCCCACTTTTTGGGTGATATTGGACTTTGCACCCCATTTTGTAAAAGCTTTGACTTTGCACCCCATCATATAACATTTTGTGTATAAAAATTCCTGAATGGGGTGCAAACCTAAAGGATTATTAAGTGAAGTGGAGTGCAAATTCAAAGTTTTTTGAAAACGGGGTGCAAAGTCCAATATCACCCAAAAAGTGGGGTGTGAAGTCGAATTCTCCCAAATAATTTTATCTCCAACTAAAGAATGAAATTAAGATTAACACAAAGAATGACTGAAACAGACTACATAGTATACTCCCTATTTTAATAGGCACGAGAAACCAAGAGCTAGCTGGATTTTTACTTAACATACAAAGGAATCCGAAAAACCAAAGGATAAGAAGGTTTGCCTACTAACTCTGACAACTTACGCTTTAGTATCTGCGCAGGCAACTCCCACGTATGCCGAAGCTCGATACTCTGTATTCTAGCTTGGCTGACCCATTTTGACTTGTATTTTTAGGCGGGAAATGGTCAAAATTTCCACTTGCTTTTGTATATAGATAGTTAAATCATTCCTGAATTAGCCTCAATTTGGGAGAGTTTATGCATCATTGATAGCTTTAAAAAGCATTAAACGCAGGTTTTTAGGTGCACTCCATTTGGAGCTTTTTAAAAGCTCCAAATGCACCATTATAAATTATCTAGTTCAATTTACACAAAGCTACAAAGTGGAGCTTTTGGAGTGTTTGGGGATCATATAACAGTTTGAGCATTTCATCGCTGAAAAGTGTACGGAGTGAATTTTCAATTAAATAAATGGTTTTAAAAGTAAAATAAACTATTGCCCTGAAATGCATTGCTTATTTATTTTTACATCCTCATTCAGTTATCTATTCATAAATACTTTTTAATCTGTTGGTGTTGTCTAAAATATTATATACATTTTTGCTGAGATGCTCTTTTACTAATTTAATATTCTCTATTAAACTACTCGCTATTGTTTTTCTCACTGCTCTTACCGCTCCATGGGTGTTTTGGACCTGGCAGCTTGTTGTCAAGGCATGAGTTCAGATCACTAGTTGATACCAATATCATATTCTCCAATTCGGGAAGGCATAGTATAGCAACATCTTGTTCATTGTTGAACTTCCGGCACCAATATGCTACTAAAGCAGCTTCCGTAGAGAAGAAATCAAAGAAGATGTTATTTTACCTGACAGGTTTGGTTTTTGGGATGGTAGGATTGAGTTATGCAGCAGTTCCTCTGTATAGAAGGTTCTGCCAAGCTACAGGCTATGGGGGTACAGTTACACGCAAGGAGGTATACTTGAGTGAGTAATGATAGCATGTATGACTGTGTATTACGTAATTAATTTAGCCATAAATACACATTAGGTTTCCCCTAAAAAAGTATTTATGTTCTAAATAGTCACCCATCCATATTTATAATCTTCCTTGAAATGATAATAGTGAAATGTTTTTTTAGTAAAATTATAAATATGCATGATTGATTGTATTTAACATATTTTTTGTGTGTGTATATGTCTAGCTAAAACAGTTAAGTTAACTATTGTTCCATACAATTGGTTTTTACTCTAACCGAGTTCATTGAATTAACATAAGTGGATGTCTATCACTCTTGATGTGTTGGTTATCTTTATGGTTTGCAGAGCGTTGAAGAAAAGATTGCTCGGCATGCCAAGGATGGAACTGTCAGCACCAGGTTTAGTTTTATGGCTTAAATATGCTTTAGCCATGCAAATATATTGTTTTTTGGTACCTTATACTTTTTTGCTTTCTTCTTTTTTTAAAAAAATTGGTTTAAAGGAGTACACTAAAAAAACATCGAGCAAAGGATTAGCAAAAATAAAAGTTAGGAATCTCTTCCCTCTCTATATTGTATATTCAAATTCTTCAATAATGTGAGCTAACTCCCTGAGACATACTGTATAACTTACACAGTTCTTTAGTTCAGTTATCAGCCTCCAAATAAACATTGTAAAATCCAATATCACTTTGAATTCTGTGAATAAAGTGAGCCAACTCCTGTTCCCCTTTAGTGCCCATCAGTGTTGAGTTTCACCAATGGTCCAACCCAAATCAGTTCAGGCCTGTTGTCATTGGATAACATAGGGAAGTGAGGAGGCTTTTATCTGAGTTCTACATCAATTCAAGACCCCTTCTTATAAGTGTCCTTTGATATGGATAATTCGTTCTTAAAGAATGTTCAGTTGCATATTATGGTTGCTCATTTTCCTTTTATGAGGAACTCAACAAAAGAACCACATCTGTAAAAGTACAGATTTATATACGCCTGTAAAATGTATTGCTAACAAACATCAGTCAAAACTCAACATCTTCGGCAAAAAAGTCAAATGTGGTTTAGTTTTATTTGGCAGAACTTCTTTAATACATTGTTCAAATAGGATATGATATTCTTATCCAGCCCTTTAACTAATGTTTTGTTTTTAATTGCAATGGATAAATATATGCTTTTTTATGAGGTGCATAATAGTTGCCTGAATCTGCTAGGGAGGTGGTTGTACAATTTAATGCTGACGTTGCTGATGGAATGCCTTGGAAGTTTATTCCTACACAACGAGAGGTGCTCTTATTGACACTATCATTATTGTCTTCTTTTGTTTTATATCTGGATATAATGCATTTTTTGTTTCCTGGAAATGTTGTGTCACTTGTGTGGCTTCCTGTGTAGGTAAGAGTAAAGCCAGGAGAGAGTGCCCTTGCCTTTTACACTGCTGAAAATCGGAGCTCTACTCCAATAACGGGTGTATCTACATATAATGTCACTCCTATGAAGGTATATATAATATATCTAAATAAGGCGATTTAAAGAAAAAGTGCTTTTGAAAAAGTAAAAGCGGGTAGTGTTTAGTAAAAAAAGTGCTTTTTGTGTTATAGATAATGTAGTAAAAAAGTGCTTTTTGTTTTATAGAAAATGTGAAAAGCAGTTTAAAACACTTCACCACTTGCTTCCAACTTTTAGCTTGTAATTGTTTAATTTAAGCAAAAACCAACACCTCAAAACACGCATTTCAACTTTTTTAAGCCAAAAGCTTAAGAGCTCTTTTCTATGTTTTTTTTAGAAACACTCCCGAAGACTAATGTTAATTTTTTTCTAGAAGTCCCCGAGTAGTGTCTAGCATTTTTCGGAAGAGTGTTTCTCTGGTTGTTTGCTACTACCATAGTACACTCTACATGACAAAGTGACAAACAACAATAATTTTCTTCTTTTTTTCAGGCCGCAGTGTATTTCAATAAAGTGCAGTGCTTTTGCTTTGAGGAACAGCGACTTCTTCCTGGGGAACAAATTGACATGCCTGTAAATAACACTAGTACTTTATTTTAATCGCGTTGTTTGACTCGTTTCAGTAATTACGCTTTTATTATTACCACATTTTTTTTTATAAATGTTTGCTTGAAATAGACATCCTATATGTGTAGGTATTTTTTTACATTGATCCGGAGTTTGAAACAGATCCCAAGATGGATGGTATCAACAACTTGATTCTCTCGTATACATTCTTCAAAGTGTCCGATGAATAGCAGCTGGTTCCTATTGCGTGATTAACCTTCTGTGTCATAGGTACTTTCATGACATGTTTTAATAAGTATACCCCCCTCTTTAAATTTATACATGGGAAATGTGTGGGCCATACTCTGTTTATTCTACATCAATCTTGTGCTCATGATGGGTTGTCATAGCTAGGGTGGGCCAAGCCAGCCATGTTGCCACTGGTTCACCCAAGTTTGGTAAAAAGCTCTTCTAAGTGTAAATTTTTTTAATATAAATTTTATATGGATAATTTTTTTTGGGCCACCTGTATTAATCTTTTAAGAGTTCTTGCGACATTGCCAGCCATTAGAATTGGGATGCCTTGTGCGGCTGCACCATCTTTAGACATTATTTATTTGTGTATGTATTTTTTGTTCTGAATTCTACATGTGTTGTATTGATTCTTTTTTCTAAGCGGCAATATATATAATACTAGGGTAGCACTTTTCATTGTTTAAACAAAAGTTCAAATCTTTAATCTTTAGCAATTTCATACATGGGAAGAACTGAAGAACTTTAAAAAAATTAGATACCATTTTTCTGCATGGCTAAAAGAAGTCAACTTTCCCGGAGGATGGAATGATGGATGTCCCTGGACCAACATTGCAGCCCTCCAATCAAATGACTCAGATGAAGTCATTTTAGTTCTCACTACTGTATGGTAGATGACTTACTCGCTGACTTCCTAAACGAGTGTTGCCTATTTTTGCTCTGAGGGCTGCGCATGTCCCATTCTTGATCCGGTATCATTTGGTAGCCGTAGCATGTTGCAAATGTTTTTGTGATGTACAACTAGGGAGGGGTCTGGACTCTGGCGCTGAGGCATCAATATATGAACACTTTCCCTTCCGTCATTATATCAACACATTTGACACTTGTGGAGGGGGAAATTCAAATACTCAATCGGGGTTTTATAGCTTCTGCATTCATTAGAAGCTATTGCTATGATTCTACTCATCTTTGTTTCAAATGGGAAAGTGGTTGTTTCAACATTCTAAAATTGGTTATGCCTCCATTTTAAGTTGTCCATTTCTTTTCTACCTTCAAGGATACTCGATGTTGGGAATTTGGGGTAGTGGTCTGAGCCACTACTATAAACCTAAAAAGCTAGAGCCTGCCCCAAACGTGCTAGGCCAAAACACTTTCCTAGACAGTAGACACTAGGCTCCCAATATACTCCTTATCAAGTGTGAGTGAGAGGGAACACTTGTAGAAACCCTAGCCTTTTGTCTAGCTAGTTCATCTTCTTCATAGAGCTTCAGGCTCCATTAATGCCTTTCATGTCTACCTTGTATATATATGTAATCCTACACCTAAATGAATAAAAGAGTTCCTCGTTGGCTTGACTAAGCCTAAAGATGCCCATTGGTTTCCTCAATTTGGGTTTTCTTGTGAAATACTTGGTCCATATACTACCATTCTTTCAAGAGAAATCTAGTCTGGACATGTGAGGACAAGTCAAACGACAATTTGGTCAACTGGATTTTATTCTATGTTGCTCCAAAATACTCTCTTTCATTGATCTAAGAAGTTGATGAAGGAATGTACCTCCATAATAATCCATATGCACAGAACCCGCGGTGAAGGTAGCTCAAAACCAGGCCATATGACTAGTTCCATATACAAGTATACAACAAAAGCTTGTTCAAACCAAACCATACTATGTCAAACAATGCTACAAGGAGCTTCTCGATTCAAAGCCTATGTAGTTGGGGTAGACCCATAGCGTTGCGTGATCCAAAGCGTGATTAATTGATTGAATTGTACTCCCTCCGTCCCATAATTATCTTCATTCTTTCCTTTTTGGTCCGTCCCAAATTTATCTCCTCTTTCCTTTTTTAGCAAAGGATTTGTGGTTCACAACCATTCTTACACATTTCTCTCTCCTCTGCACAACTCTCCACCACACATTTCCCACTTTCTTAATCTCCGTGCCCAGTCAAAACCGAAGTTAATTCTGGGACGGAGGGAGTAACATTTATCTAGTGGCACATGAATGGTTAATTTATGGGATTTCTTTTAATTTCTAGGATATAATTTATGAGATTTGCCACGCAACAAAGTGGGATATAATTGATACTTTGTATTATTACACTAAACCTCAGATAAATGTCAGGCCTAAATGATCATATTTCATATGGGTAATTCTATTCACAGTCACAATTTTACTAATCACAGTCACCTAATTAATTTAATTAAATAAAATTATTTCAAATGTCTGTTTTACTCTAATACAAATATACTCGGCCACTCGGGTATTACACCTCCTTTGAGTAATCAACTACTTACGAGAAAACTCTCCTGTCCTCTTACGTAGAGCCTCAAGCCAACAAAATCACACAGAAGACATCGATCATCTTTATTAGTTCTCTTCTTGTCCAAAAACTTGTTTTTGGTTTGATTGATTCATAAGGCTGCTGGACGCTCTCTCTCTTGCTTGGAAATAAAAGGATGGCTTCAAGAGTAGTGTTGGACCCGGGCCGGGTCAAGGCCCGGTCGGGCCCCGGGTCTTATAATGGTAGGCCCGGGACCGGCCCGGTCAATGACCGGTTCCGGTTCGGGCCGGGCCACCCGCCCGGGTCACGGGTCGGGCCACCCGCCGGGTCGGGCCACCCGGTCAAATAAATGCACTTGAACTTTGTTTTTAATAGCAATTTGTATAATATATAATTAATTAAAAAAAAATGTACTGGCCCGGCCCGGCCCGGCGGGTGGCCCGACCCGTGTCACCCGGTGGCCCGACCCGTGTCACCCGTTCAAGTGCATTTATTTGCTATTTCGTATTAGTTCAAGTGTATTTCGTATGAGAAAAAAAATAACAATACGAAATACATTTTGTAATGAATATCAATTGGGATTTCCGCCACCGTTGGTTGTTGTTAATTTGCATTAACAACAATGCTAATTAACTAGTATAATGACAAATGTAACAACAATGCTAATAAACTAATTAACTAGTATAATGAAAAATGTAACAATAATGGTAATGAACTAATTAACTATTATAATGATAAATGTAACAAGAATGCTAATTAACTAATTAACTAGTACAATACTAGTTATAGTAAGTAATATATAATATAATGTTTATAGTATATAATATATAAGTATACTACTATAAGATGAGTAATATACTTATATTTTATACTTTAATATATAAAGTATATATTAAGTAGATGTAGAATGTATGTATTAAGTGGATATAATAATTGTATAAGAATTAAATATTAGAGTATAATGGAGAATTGGAGATTGGAAAATAAGAAAATAAGTATATATAAAATAGATATTATAGAGTATATATAAAAGTAGATATTATAAAATAGATATTATTAAGTAGAGAAGTAGATATTATTATGTATTAAGTATATAGTAATAGTTTATAAAGTATATTTAATACTTTATTATATAAAGTATATATTAAGTAGATGTAGTATGTATGTATGTATTAAGAAATATAAGTAGAGATTAAGTAGATAAGAAATATAAGTAATATAGTATATGTATTTATAAGTAGATAATTAATATATAAATAGATATAATAATTGTATAAATATTAAATAGTAAAATAAAATATAAAGGAGAATAAGAGAATTTGAGAAGATGAATATTGAGAATTGGAGATGAGTAGAGAGTAGGATTTAGGGAGAGTTGGAGAAGAGGTGTGAAAAAATGTTTAAAATTAGGAGTATTTATAGGTTTTTTTTAACCCCCACCCCCCACCCCCACCCCCAAACACCCTGGACCCCCCTGGTACCCCCCCAACGGCTATATAGCCGTTTGGGAAGTGGCTGTTGAGCCAAAAGTTTTTTTTTCAAATTAAAATGATTTTTTTTTTTTAAAACTGACCGTTAGGCCCAGGCCGGGCCTCCAAAAACAGGACCCGAGCCCGGACCCGCTAACCCAACCGGTTCGGTGCCCGAACTGGACCCGGACCCGAGAACCGGACCGGTTCCGGGCCCGCACAGTGACGGGCCGGGCGGCCCGAACCGGGTCCAAGCCTATTCAAGAGAGGCGTATTCGAGAATCGAGACATTATAATAGAAAAGAAGAAGGGGAAGCTGAAAATAGATCTCTCGCTCCTTCCTTGGCAACCAGATGTATCCATAATCCATGGAATACATCTTCTTGTCTCAATTGGTGTGCCATTTCAACTTGTCGGCGGCGCCACTGATTTCCATTCAGTTTCTTCACACTGACAGTTCAGCTGCGGTATTGAAAGTTCCAAAGGAGCCCAGCCTGCTTGAAGGCTATAGTTGGAATTTTATACTAAAATGTATTCATGTCTTACGGAAGTGGGTGTGTGTGTTTAGCAATAGGAGTGTGAATAGAATTTCCCATTTCATATTTAAAGGTTATTGATGAGGTTATAGGTCCAGTATCCCAACGATATACTCCGTATGTTTTTCTTGGCCCTGTTCAGTATACTGAGGCCTGGCTTGCCCTAAAGTTAGACTAGAGAAAGACAGAGAGCATAGCCTCGTTATACTTCGTATTTGGCAAGGCCGAATTAAGTGTTTTATTGTCTGACCTTTACAAGGGCTGCCAATCCACCCATTCACTTAGCATGTTTTTTTTTTTAATTTGACTGATTTTAATTCTGGACGTAGATACCAGATTAGACCAAATTTCAACAGTTGCAAAATTTAGTATTTTACTAGACTAGATCAGAAAATTTCAGTACAATTAAGAGCCCGTTTGGTAGTATGAAAATTGACTGATTCTACTGAAATTTATGAAGTTCTGGTCGAAGTGGCTGCATTGGCTTATTCTGCTGATTTAAGAAAAAAATACTTTTAAAATATATTTTATTAATAAAATAAAGAACAAATTATATGTAAAAATAGCTAAAATGGTCATCTACAGTAACTTCAGCCAATACAACCAGAAAAGTAACTCTCATCTTACTTTTTCCGCTTATTACACAATTCAGTGCATCTGTGCATGAAAACAAAAGTTACTTGTTTGGTGAAAAAGTTGGCGGATAAGCCGAAAAACAGTGTTGCCAAACGGCATCCAAAAACATCATATATAAATTTGAAGTGATTTGCACACTGAAAGCCTTATAATTGTTGCTCACTGTTGGGTGAAATCACACAGGACACACAATTGCACAAATGCATAATGTCTAGAACGGTTACCTTGTACAAAGCGGTTTCATGTACACGTCGTTTATATGTCCCGTTTTATGTGTTTACAATTTTTTTTTCTCATTTGTTAAGGTGACAAAAAAAAAATTGTGTTGCACGAGCATTTTTTTCTCACTTTATCGGTGTCACAGACAAAACGGAACATGCCCTTATGCATGTACAAAAAGACTTTTTCCTACTTCGTATAGCTCCATATAAAGGGTGGTTATATTCAATATGTTGATAAGCCCTCTATTCTGTCCAAATCTAAACATGATGCTTCCTTCTTCTTGTTATCATAAGTCATAACAGT